TTATTTCCCGGAGGGCGGCAGGTAACTGCCAGATACCCCGCCGCCTGAACCTCCGAAAGACCCGCCGCCTCCCCGCCAAACGATCCTCCTCCAAACGATCCTCCTTCCACTGAATCCTCCTCCTCCGCCTCCGCCAGAGCCTCCAAAGTTATTGCTTGGCCCACTGTAAGTGTTGCTCACTCCCCCGCCGAAGGATCCTCCTCCAAAGGATCCTCCTCCGCCGCCGAAACCACCGCCCCTTCCGCCAGAAGATCCGCCACCGAAGCGACCGCCGCCTCCACCGAAGGACCCTCCGCCGAAGGATCCTCTGCCACCGCTTCCTCCTCCTCCAAAGTTATTCCTTGGTCCGCTGTAACTTGTACTTACTCCTCCAGAGGACCCACCACCGAAAGATCCGCCACCCCCCGAAAGATCCTCCTCCGAAGGATCCACCTCCCCCAAAGGACCCACCGCCACCTCCTCCTCCACCGAAGTTATTGCTTGGTCCTCCATAACTGGTACTTATTCCTCCTCCACCGCCGCCTCCAGAACCTCCTCCGAACGAACCACCTCCAAAGGATCCTCCCCCAAAGGATCCGCCTCCACCTTCCTCCCCGAAGGATCCTCCTCCGAAGGATCCTCCTCCTCCTCCTCCGAAAGCTATTGGTGGGTCCCTAGGAGCGGCTGACGCCACCAGAGGATCCTCCGCCACAGCCTCCGCCGAGGCAGCTGCTGCAGGCCGACCCGACGACCAAGCCCAACGCCACCAACACACTCAGTCTCTGAAAACAACAAGACGTTCCTTGAATGACGTGGTCATGAAATGATGATCAGGCATCGAACTTTTAGCAAGAATTGAAATCAACATTCACGCCGCCGAAGAGCTCTTACCATCATGAATAGGAGATGATACTGAGGCAGCGTAAAGGAGGCGACCTTATATACACCGTGATTTTTGTCTTAAGGTCAAGCACCGCCTTAGATGACACTGGTCATTTCGTTCTGCAACTGAGTCGTATCGTGTGTATGCGAATATACACAAGCACGTACACACGCAGACATTCATTCATATATATATATATATATATATATATATATATATATATATATATATATATATATATATATATATATATATATATATATATATATATATATATATATATATATATATATATATATATATATATATTAGGCCCTTTTTGTAGCATCCCCGAAAACCAAACACTTTGTTAAATGTTTGATATTGTATCATGGTCGCTACAAAACACGATTTTCATCGAAATTTGCATTGACATAAAAGTTTTGAAAAAAAAAAAATCCTTTGTTTCACAAAATAAGTCAACAGCAAACTAGCAAAGTACTTCATATGCAGATATGATATTCAACTACAAGCAAAATTTAGTAAAAGCTTCGAATAAAGTGAATAAATGTACTTGACTGCCCTGCAAATATGAAGGTTTATATACTCTTTTTCGCTACGCCAAACTGTGAAAAATTATAAATGTATTTCTCAGACTCAGTCAAAGCATTTTTTTGTCATTACACAACGTGTTCTTCATATAGAAAGTGGAAGTAGCATCAGGATTTGCATCTTATGTTCAGTGAGGAGCTCTGTTTCCGAATTAGATAAATAGATAATACGATTGATTGAAGGTATGTACCAAAGTGTATCAAACTGTTTGGGGTTTCGGGGATGCTGCAAAAAAAAATAATAATGAATAAATAAAAGAAATAGATATATATGTACTACAAAAAGGCATAACTCTCTATATATACGTATATAAAAAACATATATGTTTACATATATATGTATATATACTATATATATATATATATATATATATATATATATATATATATATATATATATAATATATATATATATATATATATATATATATATATATATATATATATATATATATATATATATATGTTTACGATACGTTTCTCTTCAGACGAATAATAAGCCGAAATGGATCTTGTGGCTGTTTTCATTTTCTTTTCTTTTCTTTTTTTTTCTCTTTCCCTCTCTTTTTCTTGTGTGTGTGTGTGTGTGGTGTGCATTACTATGTTATGCTTGTGTTCATATATGTCAGGGAGGGAAACCAGCGATCGCGATCGACTGGTCCATCACAAGCCTGCACAATACTGTACCTCAATAATTCGTCCTTCAGAAGTGTCATGCAAATAGCTGCAATAGCATATCCAAGTTCTCATGATACTTGGATTATCATATTTATCTTTTTCTGGAAATAAGTTATACTTATATTTATAATGATGTAAAGTCTGAACAACATACAAATATTTATGTTTGAACCTTAGGCTGGTAGATCGCATCAGGGTAACTTTAAAAAGTAGATCATATCTCACAAAAGGTTGGCCACTCCTGATATATATATATATATATATATATATATATATATATATATATATTATATATATATATATATATATATATATGTCTTATGTATGTTTGTATGTATACATACATATATGCAAATATGTTATCAGAGTAATAGATAAACATACATTGTCATAATTATCATTAGTCTTATTGCTCTTATTGTTATAATGATAATTTTTATCATTATTATTATTATCATCAACATCGCAATTATCATATGACTATTGTTACTATCAAAATCACTATCATTACTATTATCAGATTCTCGTTGATTTCCATAAAATGGCTTGATCGTTTCATCAATACAAAAATGAATGAATAGGAAATAAAATCTTTACATGGTAAAGTATTTTTCTAAAATTATTTATTCTTACGTCAATTACATTTAAAAAGTGTACACATTTCTCTCCTGCCGAAGCAGTTATTTCCCGGAGGGCGGCAGGTAACTGCCAGATACCCCGCCGCCTGAACCTCCGAAAGACCCGCCGCCTCCGCCGCCAAAGGATCCTCCTCCAAACGATCCTCCTCCAAACGATCCTCCTCCAAACGATCCACCACTGAATCCTCCTCCACCGCCTCCGCCAGAGCCTCCAAAGTTATTGCTTGGCCCACTGTAAGTGTTGCTCACTCCCCCGCCGAAGGATCCTCCTCCAAAGGATCCTCCTCCGCCGCCGAAACCACCGCCCCTTCCGCCAGAAGATCCGCCACCGAAGCGACCGCCGCCTCCACCGAAGGACCCTCCGCCGAAGGATCCTCTGCCACCGCTTCCTCCTCCTCCAAAGTTATTCCTGGTCCGCTGTAACTTGTACTTACTCCTCCAGAGGACCCACCACCGAAGGATCCGCCACCACCTCCGAAAGATCCTCCTCCGAAGGATCCACCCCCCAAAGGACCCACCGCCACCTCCTCCTCCACCGAAGTTATTGCTTGGTCCTCCATAACTGTACTTATTCCTCCTCCACCGCCTCCAGAACCTCCTCCGAACGAACCACCCACCCCGCCTCCCCTCCCCGAAGGATCCGATCCTCCCCGAAGGATCCGCCTCCTCCCCGAAGGATCCCTCCGATCCTCCCCCGAAGGATCCGCCTCCAAACGCTCCTCCCCCGAACGATCCTCCTCCTCCTCCTCCTCCGAAGCTATTGGTGGGTCCTGCGTAGGAGCGGCTGACGCCACCAGAGGATCCTCCGCCACAGCCTCCGCCGAGGCAGCTGCTGCAGGCCGACCCGACGACCAAGCCCAACGCCACCAACACACTCAGTCTCTGAAAACAACAAGACGTTCCTTGAATGACGTGGTCATGAAATGATGATCAGGCATCGAACTTTTAGCAAGAATTGAAATCAACATTCACGCCGCCGAAGAGCTCTTACCATCATGAATAGGAGATGATACTGAGGCAGCGTAAAGGAGGCGACCTTATATACACCGTGATTTTGTCTTAAGGTCAAGCACCGCCTTAGATGACACTGGTCATTTCGTTCTGCAACTGAGTCATATCGTGTGTATGCGAATATTCACAAGCACGTACACACGAAGATATATATATATATATATATATATATATATATATATATATATATATATATATATATATATATATATATATAAGGCCCTTTTTGTAGCATCCCCGAAAACCCAAACACTTTGTTAAATGTTTGAAATTGTATCATGGTCGCTACAAAACACGATTATCATTGATATACAAAGTTCAACAGAAAACTAGTAAAGTACTTCATATGCAGGTATGATATTCAACTACAAGCAAAATTTAGTAGAAGCTTCGAATAAAGTGAAAAAGTATTTGACTGCCCTGCAAATATGAAGGTTTATATATACTCTTTTTCGCTTCGCAAAACTGAGAAAAAAATACAAATGTATTTCTCAGATTCAGTCAAAACATTTTTTTGTCATTACATTCAGTGTTCTTCATATTAAAAGTGGAAGTAGCATCAGGATTTGCATCTTATGTTCACAGTGAGTGAGCTCTGTTTCCGAATTAGATAAATAGATAATACCAATGATTGAAGGTATTGTTTGTCTTACTGATTCAATTATATTAACAGATCAAGATACATAGTCTATTGTGTGATGTTTTTGAGCCTGTCATGGTTGTATCACAGAGGTACAAAATTAAGCCCTTCATCCCACCGAAGTCAATACCATGTCATATCATTCGTACTCGTTCAACATTCTTACCATGTCGTTCCAGCGACGGTCATGATTGACTTTTAATTTTACCCATATTGAGTGGACATGTATTTGATGTGCTGCTAAGAAGACAAACATTTTATGCACCTTCAAAATAGAAATTTGTAACAAGAAACTTACAATAAAATTCGTAATTAATGAAAATATAAATTCTTATCTGAGCCTGCTTGAAATATATGAGGAAAATATTGCGCTTTGATTGGCTGGCAGGAGTGTATCAAGGTAGAGGCAAACACTTTGATACAAACTGAAAAGATGTTTCACCAAGTTCCATTAATGTGCGCGTAGAGGGCAAACGTGGATCAGTGTTTCAACTAGGGTTTCGGGGATCTAAAAAAAATATGTGTGTGTGTGTGCTAAAAAAATATATATATATATATATATATATATATATATATATATATATATATTATATATATATATATATATATATATATATATATATATATATATACATATATATAATACGTTTCAAACTCTTCGCGAGTTTCTCTTCAGTCGAATGATAAACCAAAATGGATCTTGTGGCTGTTTCCTTTTTTTTTGTTACTGTGTTTATGCTCGTGTTCACACACACACACACACATATGTGTGTGTGTCTTATTTATTTATATATGTTTGTATGTATACATAGATATATGCATGCCTATATGTAATCAGAGTAATAAATAAGCAAGCTTTATCATTATTAACATTATTCTTATTGGACTTATTTTTATTATGATCATTTTTCTTATCACTATTATCGTTATCAAAACCGCAATCATTTTAGGAATCTTGACACTATCAAAATCATCATTCCTATTATTAATTTTGTCAGGTTCTCGTTTGCTTTAATAAAATAGCTTGATCGTTTCATGTATACAAAGAATAAATGAATAGATAATAAAAACCTTTACATGGTAAAGTATTTCTGAAATTATTTATTCTCACGTCAGTTACATTTAAAAAGTGTACATATTTCTCTCCTGCAGAAGCAATTATTTCCCGGAGGGCGGCAGGTAACTGCCAGATACCCCGCCGCCTGAACCTCCGAAAGACCCGCCGCCTCCGCCGCCAAAGGATCCTCCTGATCCTCCTCCAAACGATCCTCCTCCAAACGATCCTCCACTGCCTCCGCCAGAGCCTCCAAAGTTATTGCTTGGGCCACTGTAAGTGTTGCTCACTCCCCCGCCGAAGGATCCTCCTCCAAAGGATCCTCCTCCGCCGCCGAAACCACCGCCCCTTCCGCCAGAAGATCCGCCACCGAAGCGACCGCCGCCTCCACCGAAGGACCCTCCGCCGAAGGATCCTCTGCCACCGCTTCCTCCTCCTCCAAAGTTATTCCTTGTGCCGCTGTAACTTGTACTTACTCCTCCAGAGGACCCACCACCGAAGGATCCGCCACCACCTCCGAAAATCCTCCTCCGAAGGATCCACCTCCCCCAAAGGACCCACCGCCACCTCCTCCTCCACCGAAGTTATTGCTTGGTCCTCCATAACTGGTACTTATTCCTCCTCCACCGCCGCCTCCAGAACCTCCTCCAAACGAACCTCCTCCGAGGATCCTCCCCCGAAGGATCCACCTCCGATCCTCCCCCGAAGGATCCTCCTCCTCCTCCTCCTCCGAAGCTATTGGTGGGTCCTGCGTAGGAGCGGCTGACGCCACCAGAGGATCCTCCGCCACAGCCTCCGCCGAGGCAGCTGCTGCAGGCCGACCCGACGACCAAGCCCAACGCCACCAACACACTCAGTCTCTGAAAACAACAAGACGTTCCTTGAATGACGTGGTCATGAAATGATGATCAGGCATCGAACTTTTAGCAAGAATTGAAATCAACATTCACGCCGCCGAACAGCTCTTACCATCATGAATAGGAGATGATACTGAGGCAGCGTAAAGGAGGCGACCTTATATACACCGTGATATTTGTCTTAAGGTCAAGCACCGCCTTAGATGACACTGGTCATTTCGTTCTGCAACTGAGTCGTATCGTGTGTATGCGAATATTCACAAGCACGTACACACGAAGACATTCATACATATACATACATATATAAGGCCTTTTTTGAAGCATCCCGAAAACCCAAATTCTTTGATAAATACTGGATTTTGTATCATGGTCGTTACAACACTATTATCATCAAATTTTGCACTGACATTCAAAGTTTGGAAAAAATATATTTTTCTTTAGAAAACCAGTAAAGGACTTGATGTGCAGGTATGATATTTAACTCTATGCACTATTTCGTTTCGCAAAGCTGTGAAAACTTACAAATGTATTTCTCAGATTCAGCCAAAACATTTTTTCTTCTTCTTCTTCTTCTTCTTTATTTCTTTTCTTTTTTCTTTTTTTAACTTCCTCATTTGTGCTAAAATATTTATTACAATAAACATATCACACATCAACAGACTATTTGTTAACAAAATATCTATCTTGATAAAGGCATCTTCCACATTAACAGACTATTTGAAACCACTCAAGGACACGTTTCACACTTTACGAAATATTTTAGGGCGTCTTCTTCTTTTCCCCAAGCATGGGACGTCAGGAAATTGGGAGAGTGACGTCACAGATTGCTGATTGGCCAGTGGGTATGCTGCTGCCAGGCGCAAAAGGTGCGGGGAAACTGCCCTACACCTCAGTCTGTGCACAACATTGTGGGAATCACATCCAGAACATGTATATAATCAGATTTCCCTTGGCAATATGAATAAATATGACCACATAACATCCCCTGTCTCCCTCCTCTCTCTCTCTCTCTCTCTCTCTCTCTCTCTCTCTCTCTCTCTCTCTCTCTCTCTCTCTCTCTCTCTCTCTCTCTCTCTCTCTCTCTGTCTTTCCCTCTCCTTTTCCCTTTTCTCTTTTCAATCATCATTTTTTTCCTTTCTTTTCTTTTCTTTTCTTTTCTTTCTTTTCTTATCTTTACATATTCATTCTCCGCATATTTTCACTTTCCTCATTAGTTGCCTGTTACAGTGAACGTAGAGCAACAACAATATAGTTATCCAAATATATCAAGCAATTACATGCAAGGCATTTCGACTCTTGATATAAAGAAAAAAATGTCTCAATTTATATACGGTATATACAACATATAACACTTTTTGTATTCATGAAATTAAGCTTTATATACACAAGTCTGAAATCAACGCAGTGTTTATGACTAGAAATGGTACAGATCTACAAGTTTTCTTTTTGTTTAAGCTTGTGGATTGTATTCTTCTTAAAATAATGAAGAGATATGAAAGTTGTAAGAGTGCAACCAGTACTGATGTCTGTCGCCTGTTCAGTGATGTATTTCCTCTATTAATTAAAGAAAAGAAATTCTAACTGGCATCTGAAGTGCTAGACCTAACGCTCAGTGAAGGGCCCGTGGGACGAAACGCTATCACACATGCGCAGAAGTAAGGGGGCCGATATATATATGTGTGTGTGTGTGTGTGTATCATCATTCTTGTTACCATTACCATCATTTTTATTAATGAGGACTTTATTTGTATCATCATAATCATCTTTATAAGTTTTCGTTAATTTCCATATATCAACGACTCTAAAACTCGCTTGATTATTAAATAATTTATTCTAATAACATGAATTACATTCATTCAGTTGAACATATTTCTCTCCTGCAGAAGCAATTATTTCCCGGAGGGCGGCAGGTAACTGCCAGATACCCCGCCGCCTGAACCTCCGAAAGACCCGCCGCCTCCGCCGCCAAACGATCCTCCTCCAAACGATCCTCCTCCAACGATCCACTGAATCCTCCTCCCGCCTCCGCCAGAGCCTCCAAAGTTATTGCTTGGCCCACTGTAAGTGTTGCTCACCCCCGCCGAAGGATCCTCCTCCAAAGGATCCTCCTCCGCCGCCGAAACCACCGCCCCTTCCGCCAGAAGATCCGCCACCGAAGCGACCGCCGCCTCCACCGAAGGACCCTCCGCCGAAGGATCCTCTGCCACCGCTTCCTCCTCCTCCAAAGTTATTCCTTGGTCCGCTGTAACTTGTACTTACTCCTCCAGAGGACCCACCACCGAAAGATCCGCCACCACCTCCGAAAGATCCTCCTCCGAAGGATCCACCTCCCCCAAAGGACCCACCGCCACCTCCTCCTCCACCGAAGTTATTGCTTGGTCCTCCATAACTGGTACTTATTCCTCCTCCACCGCCGCCTCCAGAACCTCCTCCGAACGAACCACCTCCAAAGGATCCTCCCCCGAAGGATCCGCCTCCGCCTCCAAAGGATCCTCCGATCCTCCTCCTCCTCCTCCTCCTCCGAAGCTATTGTGGGTCCTGCGTAGGAGCGGCTGACGCCACCAGAGGATCCTCCGCCACAGCCTCCGCCGAGGCAGCTGCTGCAGGCCGACCCGACGACCAAGCCCAACGCCACCAACACACTCAGTCTCTGAAAACAACAAGACGTTCCTTGAATGACGTGGTCATGAAATGATGATCAGGCATCGAACTTTTAGCAAGAATTGAAATCAACATTCACGCCGCCGAAGAGCTCTTACCATCATGAATAGGAGATGATACTGAGGCAGCGTAAAGGAGGCGACCTTATATACACCGTGATTTTTGTCTTAAGGTCAAGCACCGCCTTAGATGACACTGGTCATTTCGTTCTGCAACTGAGTCGTATCGTGTGTATGCGAATATACACAAGCACGTATACACGCAGACATTCATTCATATATATATATATATATATATATATATATATATATATATATATATATATATATATATTATATATATATATATATATATATATATATATATATATATATATATATATATATATTAGGCCCTTTTTGTAGCATCCCCGAAAACCCAAACACTTTGTTAAATGTTTGATATTGTATCATGGTCGCTACAAAACACGATTTTCATCGAAATTTGCATTGACATAAAAGTTTTGAAAAAAAAAAAATCCTTTGTTTCACAAAAAGTCAACAGCAAACTAGCAAAGTACTTCATATGCAGGTATGATATTCAACTACAAGCAAAATTTAGTAAAAGCTTCGAATAAAGTGAAAAAGTTTGACTGCCCTGCAAATATGAAGGTTATATACTCTTTTTCGCTACGCCAAACTGTGAAAAATTATAAATATTTCTCAGACTCAGTCAAAGCATTTTTTGTCATTACACAACGTGTTCTTCATATAGAAAGTGGAAGTAGCATCAGGATTTGCATCTTATGTTCACAGTGAGGGAGCTCTGTTTCCGAATTAGATAAATAGATAATACGATTGATTGAAGGTATGTACCAAAGTGTATCAAACTGTTTGGGGTTTCGGGGATGCTGCAAAAAAAATAATAATGAATAAATAAAAGAAATAGATATATATGTACTACAAAAAGGCATAACTCACTATATAATACATATACATAATGTACATATAATTATATAAATATATATATATATAATATTATATAATATATATATATATATATATATATATATATATAATATATGTATATATATATATATGTATGTATATATGTATATATATAATATATATAATATATATAATATATATATATATGTGTTTACGATACGTTTCTCTTCAGACGAATAATAAGCCGAAATGGATCTTGTGGCTGTTTCATTTTCTTTTCTTTTTTTTTTTCTCTCTCCCTCTCTTTCTTTTGTGTGTGTGTGTGTGTGTGCATGTTACTATGTTATGCTTGTTCATATATGTCAGGGAGGGAAACCAGCGATCGCGATCGACTGGTCCATCACAAGCCTGCACAATACTGTACCTCAATAATTCGTCCTTCAGAAGTGGTCATGCAAATAGCTGCAATAGCATATCCAAGTTCTCATGATACTTGGATTATCATATTTATCTTTTTCTGGAAATAAGTTATACTTATATTTATAATGATGTAAAGTCTGAACAACATACAAATATTTGTGTTTGAACCTTAGGCTGGTAGATCGCATCAGGGTAACTTTAGAAAAAGTAGATCATACAAAAGGTTGGCCACTCCTGATATAAATATATATATATATATATATATATATAATATATAATAATATATATATATATATATATATATATGTATATATGTCTTATGTATGTTTGTATTATACATACATATATGCAAATATGTTATCAGAGTAATAGATAAACATACATTGTCATAATTATCATTAGTCTTATTGCTCTTATTGTTATAATGATAATTTTTATCATTATTATTATTATCATCAACATCGCAATTATCATATGACTATTGTTACTATCAAAATCATCATTACTATTATCAGATTCTCGTTGATTTCCATAAAATGGCTTGATCGTTTCATCAATACAAAAATGAATGAATAGGAAATAAAATCTTTACATGGTAAAGTATTTTCTAAAATTATTTATTCTTACGTCAATTACATTTAAAAAGTGTACACATTTCTCTCCTGCCGAAGCAGTTATTTCCCGGAGGGCGGCAGGTAACTGCCAGATACCCCGCCGCCTGAACCTCCGAAAGACCCGCCGCCTCCGCCGCCAAAGGATCCTCCTCCAAACGATCCTCCTCCAAACGATCCTCCTCCAAACGATCCACTGAATCCTCCTCCACCGCCTCCGCCAGAGCCTCCAAAGTTATTGCTTGGCCCACTGTAAGTGTTGCTCACTCCCCCGCCGAAGGATCCTCCTCCAAAGGATCCTCCTCCGCCGCCGAAACCACCGCCCCTTCCGCCAGAAGATCCGCCACCGAAGCGACCGCCGCCTCCACCGAAGGACCCTCCGCCGAAGGATCCTCTGCCACGCTTCCTCCTCCTCCAAAGTTATTCCTTGGTCCCTGTAACTTGTACTTACTCCTCCAGAGGACCCACCACCGAAGGATCCGCCACCACCTCCGAAAGATCCTCCTCCGAAGGATCCACCTCCCCCAAAGGACCCACCGCCACCTCCTCCTCCACCGAAGTTATTGCTTGGTCCTCCATAACTGGTACTTATTCCTCCTCCACCGCCCTCCAGAACCTCCTCCGAACGAACCACCTCCAAAGGACCGAAGGAAGAGATCCTCCCCGAAGGATCCGCCTCCAAACGATCCTCCCCGAAGATCCAACGATCCTCCCCCGAAGGATCCGACGCTCCTCCCCCCGATCCTCCTCCTCCTCCGAAGCTATTGGTGGGTCCTGCGTAGGAAGCGGCTGACGCCACCAGAGGATCCTCCGCCACAGCCTCCGCCGAGGCAGCTGCTGCAGGCCGACCCGACGACCAAGCCCAACGCCACCAACACACTCAGTCTCTGAAAACAACAAGACGTTCCTTGAATGACGTGGTCATGAAATGATGATCAGGCATCGAACTTTTAGCAAGAATTGAAATCAACATTCACGCCGCCGAAGAGCTCTTACCATCATGATAGGAGATGATACTGAGGCAGCGTAAAGGAGGCGACCTTTATATACACCGTGATATTTGTCTTAAGGTCAAGCACCGCCTTAGATGACACTGGTCATTTCGTTCTGCAACTGAGTCATATCGTGTGTATGCGATATTCACAAGCACGTACACACGCAGACACAAGACATTCCATATATATATTAATATATATATATATATATATATATATATATATATATATATATATATATAGGCCCTTTTTTGTAGCATCCCCGAAAACCCAAACACTTTGTTAAATGTTTGATATTGTATCATGGTCGCTACAAAACACGATTATCATTGATATACAAAAAAAAAAAAAGTTCCAACAGAAAACTAGTAAAGTACTTCATATGCAGGTATGATATTCAACTACAAGCAAAATTTGTAAAGCTTCGAATAAAGTGAAAAAGTATTTGACTGCCCTG